TCCTGCTCCTATGATGCTGCTTGGCCTGCTGTGTTCATCCAGCTCTACACCTTGTTATTTTAGTAAGAGTAAAACAAGTGTCGGTCCTCTGCAAAAAGAGTCTGGAGAATTAATACAGGTATTTCTGCTATAACACGTGTTTCATTAACACGAATTGGCAGTAACACGATTGAATAATGGATGCTGTTTGGATAACACAAACTTTCTACTGTACAGTATAGCGATGTTCTATTGTCATTTCCCTAAATTGCAATGTTCTATTGCGTAGGGTCACACAAGGACACAATTATCATGTTTATAGGAGAACTACCTGTATGGAAAAACAAGGAAACTATGCAAGTGTCATTCGGGAATTTTGTTTGCTTTCACCATGGAAAGCGCAAAACTGTGCCAAAAATTGGTTGCAGAGACAATGGATGCATTGATTGGGATCTTCCAAAAATCCCAGCAAATTGGAAAAATAGCTAATGTAATACCTGTATTCAAGATGGAAAGGAGAAAGAAGGTGCAAAATCCCATTAAACTAACATCTGTCAGAAGAAAAATGTTACAATCTGTGATTAGGGAGGTTGGAAATCATAAGTATTAGGCAAAATTAACGCACTTAATTAATTTATTAGAGTTCTTTGAGAAATGAACAATCAATGTAAAGGGAAGGGGCTTAGATTTCCAAAAGGTATTTAATAATGTAATGCCACAGGAAAGATTACTACACAAGATATGTTTCATTTATATTCATTCATTAGATGTGTGCATCGCTAGTGGTCAGCATTTAATGCCCATTTCTAGTTGACCTTTAGAAGGAGGTAATGAGCTGTCTTTTTGAACCGTTGCAGAACATGTGCCGTAGGTAGGTCTACTATGCCTTTAGGGAGGGAATTCCAGGGTTTTGACACAACAGTGAATGAATGGCAATGTATTTCCAAGTCAAAATGGCTTGGAGTGGAACTTGCAGTGGCAGTATCCCCATGTATCTGCAGCCGGTGTCCTTCAAGATGGAAGTGGTCGTGGCTTTGGAAGGTGCTGTCCAAGAGTCTTTGGTGAATTTCTGTAGTGCATCCTGTAGACCGTGCACACTGCTATTACTGAGCGAAGGTGATGGAGAGAGTGGATGTTCGTGGTTGGAGTGCCAATCAAGGAGGCTGTTTTTTTCTGGATGGTGTCAAGCTTCTTGGGTGCTGTTGGAGCTGCATCCATTCGGGTAAATGGGAATGTTCCATCACACTCCTGACTTATGCCTTATAAATGGTAGAAAGGCTTTTGGGTGTTAGAGGTGAGTTACTGCATGAATTATGGCAAATCCAGTTGCGTTTCTGATCAGTGGTAACCCCCAGGATGTTGATAGTGAGGAATTCAGAATATAAAGGAGTGATGGTCAGATTGTCTCCAAAAAGAGACTGACAGTCATTGCCTGGCATTTGTGTTGTGGATGTGCCAGTGTTGGACTGGGGTGGACAAGGTCAGAAGTCACACGACGCCATGTTGCAGTCCTTTTTATTTGAAATCACAAGCTTTTGAAGTGTTGCTCCTTTGTCAGGTGATTTCAAATAAACCTGTTGAACTATAACCTGGTGTCGTGTGACTTCTGACCTTGGCATTGGTGTGGCACGAATGTTACTTTTCACTTTTCAGCCAAACCCGAATATTGTCCAAATGAACATAGACTGCTTCAGTGTCTGAGGAGTCTCAAATTCTGCTGAACAATGTGCAGACATTGGCATTATGAAGGAGGGAAAGTTATTGAAGCATCTGAAGATGCTTGGGCTGAGGACATCACCCTGAGGAGCTCCTGTAGGGATGTCCTGGCGCTGAGATGACTGACCTTCAGCAGCCACAACCATCTTCTTATGTGCCAGACTTGATTCCAACCAGCAGAGAGCTTGCCCCAATTCTGATTGATTCCAATTTTGCTTGGGCACTTTGTCACTTTTGGTCAAGTGCGGCCTTGATGTTATACAGGCAGTCTCACCTGACCCCTGGAATTCAACTTTTTTTTTGTCCATGTTACCAAGGCCATAATGAGGCCAGGAGCTGAGTGGCCCTGGCAGAACCCAAACAGAGCATCGCTGAGCAGGTGCTGCTTGATAGCACTGTTGATGACACCTTCCGTCACTTTTCTGATGATCGAAAGTTGACTAATGGGGCGCTAATTCTGGGATAAAGGAAAGAAGATATTAGCATCGATCAAGGATTTGATTAAAGCTTGCAGAAAGCAGAGGATAGAGTTTTTGTTTGGATTGGCAGGGAATGGCTAGTGGAGTACTACAGGGATCACTGCCAGGGCCTTAGCTATTGACATTTTGCATCAGTGATTTAGATGATGGGACCAAACGTTTGTGTCATCTGCAAATTTCATTGTCAAAGGTAGGAAAGAAGGTTTTCAAGAGGACATGGAGTATACAGAGAAATTACATAAAAGGACAAACATTTGACAGTTGGAGTGTAATGTGTGGAAAATATGAAAGTGCCCATTTTGCATAAAGAATATAAAAGCAATATTGTTTAAATGTAGAGAGTCTGCAGTAAAGAGATCTTGGTGTCAATGAACATGAATCATAAAAAGTTATTATGTAAGTATAGCAACTGATTAGGATCACAAATGGAATGTTGTGATTTATTGCAAGGAGAATGGAACATAGAGCGGGCAGTTTTGCTGCAAGGCATGAGACTGCATCTCAGGTACTGTGTAAAGTTTTCGTTGCCTAATTAAGGAAGGATAATATTTCATTAGATGCTGTTCAGAAAACATTCTTTTCACTGATTCCTGATATGAAATGGTTACCTTGTGTGGAAAGGTTGAACGGGATAGACGTATGTCCATTGACATTTTTTTTTTAAAAGTGCTTTTTTTTAATTTTAAAAATCCTGAAGGCAGATGAGGGCTAACTGCTTTTACTTCCACTTTAGACAATTAACACCACCTTTGATATCTATTAACACCCCAGATCCTGTTATGAAATAGATTGCTTTCAGCACAATTTCACCTATTAAGAGTCCCCATTATCACCTGTCTAGTTTCTCCTCTTCCCTGGTTTACAATCAACAATCCTTCAGTCTGCTTACCCTTTTATTTCCTCTCTCTTCCTCCCCCTCCACTTTACTTCTCTTCCCTCCCCCCACCTCTTGTCATCAGCATAAATATCATCTTTTCCGGCTGCTATCAATTTTGAAGAAGGGTCATTGGACTCTTAACTGTTTTCTCTTAACAGATGCTGCTGGACCTGCTGAGTTTCTCACTAATTTCTGTTTTGTTTATTTCAGATCTCCAACATCCACAGTTCTTTGTTTTATTTAAGTGCTATCTACAGTTGTCATTTGCGCAGCTCTTGGTATCTAATAGAGACTTGGTCATGAATAAAAATAATAAACTCTCCCAACATTGATCTTTGTATGATATGACAAGTGACCTGTTTCCAAACCAAATTCATCTGTCATCAGTTTGTCTATAGCCTTCCAGACAGTTCTTGATACAATGCAATGAATTAGCACAATACCTGAAGTTTGGATTTTGCAAGCAAACTTCTGCTTTGGTGCTGAAACAAATGCGGATGCTGTGAATCAGAAACAAACAGAAATTGCTGGAAAAGCTCAGCAGGTCTGGCAGCATCTGAGGAGAGAAATCAGAGTTGTTTTGGGTCAAGTGACCCTCAGAATTTTTGATTTTTCTCTTCAGATGCTGCCAGAACTGCTGAGCTTTTCCAGCAATTTCCGTTTTTATTTCTCCTTTTGGTACTCCTGACTATGTCATCGATCTCTCCTGTTTTGGGCTTACGGTCAGCAGTTGTGCTTTTGGACGCCTGACCTACCATGATATCCTGTCTTTAAAGCCCATGTCTTTGATCAAACCGATGATGCTTCCAATCTTTCCCTTTTTAATTGCCATCAAATTTCTCCCTCTGTGGATCCTCAAGTCATTTTCTGTATTAATAATGCTATATAAATTCAAGTTGTTAATGACAAGCAAATTTTGCCAAATATCTGTTTCACTGTATATCTTTGTCCTTTTACTTCATCTTAATCCTCATTTTTGCTTTACTCAATCTTTCTCTGTAGGAATAAGTCACCTTTACTGATAGTAACTTTTTTAAATCAGATTTCTCTGAATGCGGTTGAAGTTGATTCCCCAGAATGTCCCATAACCTGAACACTATGCTGATTCTTTCTAGATAGTTCTGTATCTTTCTGAGCTGCGAAACATTAACGTTGCAGAAATGTAAATATTTTTATTAGTGAGAAAATACTACAATGTTGATCTTATACTGTGGGGCAAATCCATAGCACATCAAGTAGCACATTCACCATTTAATACAGTAACTGGATCAATTGTATCTTAAGCTGCCCATGAGCAAGTCGGGGGCCATCTGTTAATACTAGTTCTATAGCCAGAGTTTATTCAGACCTCAAGTTTTCTTTTGAGGAGGCTAGTACAAGCAACATTAAACTAGGTCTGCAATCTGTTCTTTTTAAACTGCTACTTGTTTGCTGTTTGAAGAATGTCAAACTTTCAATTTTTGTTTTATTCATTTTGATGAAAGGTTTCACAAAGTTACGTTTTGGTTCAATGTGAATACTTTTGATTTTAAGTATTGCCGATCCCTACTTGCCCTCAAAGGGTGGTGAGCTGCTACCTTGAACCAATGCAGTTGTAGCTAGGCCCACAGTAACGTTTGACATCTAAGCTTTTGACCCAGGAGTCTGAAGGACCTACAATATTTCCAGTTCAGGATAGTGAATAGCTTGGTGGGGAACATGCAGATGCTTGTGTTCCCATGTGTCTGCTAACCATGTCATTCTGGAGGGATGTGGTCATGAGTTCAGAAGGTGGTGTCGAAGGAGCCTTTGTGAACTTCTGCAGCATGTCTTCTGCATATACGTACTGCTGCTACTAAGTGTTAGTGGTGGAGAAAGTTTGTGTATGTGGTGCCTATCAAGTGAGCTGCTATATCATTGGATGGTGTCACAATTGTTTTTTTAATTCATTTGTGGAATGTGGGCATTGCTGGCTGGTCACCACCTTCTCTAGGGCAACTAGGGATGGGCAATAAATGCTGGTGAGCTGCCGCCTTGAACCATTGCAGTCCACCTTCTGTGGGTTGACCTACAATGCCATTAGGGAGGGAATTCCAGGATTTTGATGCAGTGACAGTGACGGAATGGCAGTATATTTCTAAGTCAGGATGGTGAGTGGCTTGAAGGGGAACTTCAAAGTGATTGTGGTCCCATGTATCTGCTACCCTTGTCCTTCCATATGGAAGTGATCATGGGAGTGGAAGGGGCTGGGTGAGGATCTTTGGTGAATTTCTGCAGTGCATCCTGTAGACCGTACACATTGATGTTACTGAGCGAAGGTGATGGAGGGAGTGAATGCTTGTGGATGTAGTGTCAATCAAGCGGGCTGCTTTGTCCTGGATGGTGTCAAGCTTCTTGAGTGTTGTTGGGGCTTCACTCATTCCAGCAAGTGGGGAGTATTGTATCGCACTCCTGGCTTGTGCCTTGTAGATGATGGCTTTGCGGAGTCAGGAGGTGAGTTACTCACTCCAGTATTCCTTGCCTCCTGATCTGTTCTTGTAGCCATTATGTTTATGTGGGGAGTCCAGTAGAGTTTCTAGTCAATGATCACCCCCAGAATGTTGATAGTGGGGGATTCAGTGATGGTAACACCATTGATTGTTTAGATTGTCTCTTGTTGGTGATGGCCATAGCCTGGCACCTGTGTGGCACGAATGTTACTTGCCACTTGTTGGCTCAAGCCTGGATATTGTCCAGATCTTGTTGCATTTGAACATGGACTGCTTCAGCATCTGAAGTCATGAATGCTGCTGAACATAGTGCAACCATCGGCAAACATCCCCACTTCTGACCTTGTGTTATTTGCAGCTGTGCTCATCGCACTCCTGACTTGGGTTTCATAGGTGGTGAGCAGGCTTTTGAGGAGTCAGGAGGTGAGTTATTCACTGCAGGATTCTTAGCTTTTAACCTGATCTTGTAGTCACCGTATTTATTTGGCTAATCCAGTTTAGTTTCTGGTCAATGGTAACCCCCGGATGTTGCTAATGATGCCTTTTGAATGTCAAGGGGGAATGATTGGACTCTGTCTTGTTAAAAATGGTCATTCCCTGGTACTTGTGTGAGTGTTACTTGCCATTGTCAGTCCACATCTGGATGTTGCCCAGGATATAGACTGTATATCCAGTGTCTGAGGAGTCCTGAATGATGCTGAACATTGGGCAATCATTAGAGAACATACCCACTTCTAACTTATGATGGAGGGAAGGTCCGATTATGAGACAGCTGAAGATGATTGAGTCTAGAACATGACCGTGAGCAACTCCCTTCAGGAATCTCCTGTAGAGATTTTCCCGGATTCCCACAGACTCAAATTTTGCTAGAGCATCATGATGCCTTGCTCAGTCAAATGCGGCCTTGTTTTTTAGGGCAGCCACTCTTGCCTCACCTCTGGAACTCGGCTCCCGTGTACATGTTTAAACCAAACCTGTAATGAGATCAGGAGCTGATTGGCCTTGGCAGAACACACACTGTGTACCAGTGAACACTTTATTGCCCGATTTGCATTGTTGATGATGCTCTCCATCATTTTACAGATTGAGAGTAGACTGATGCAGTAATTGGTGGGGTTAGATTTGACCTGCTTTTTGTATACAGGACATACATGGGCAATTTTCCACAATATAGGAGCAAATCACTGCAAATACTGGAATCTGTACTGAAAACAACAAATGCTGGATATCACAGCAGGTCAGACAGCATCCATGGAGAGGGAGCAAGCTAACGTTTTGAGTCTAGTTGACTCTTCTTCAGCTCTGACAAAGAGTCATCTAGACTCAATGTTAGCTTGCTCCCTTTCCATGGGTGCTGCCTGACCCGCTGTGATATCCAGCATTTGTTTTTAATTGCCTACAGTGTTGGGTAGATGCCATTGTTGTTGCTGTACTGAAACATCTTGGCTAGTGGCATGGTAAGTTCTGGAGCACGTGTCTTGAGTATTATTGATGGAGCGTTGTCAGGTCCTTTTTGGAGTATACAGCACTTCCAGCTGTTTCTTGATCTCTCATGGAGTGACTCAGATTGGCTAAAGACTGGCATCATAGATGCCAGGGACCTCCTGGAGATGGATCATCCATTGATCTGTTGATTGTTAAATTGCTTAGCCCTAACTGTCACATGTTGCTTATGCTGTTTGGCATGCAAGTAGCCCTGTTCTGTGACTTCATCAGATTTGGTACCTCATTTTAGAGTATGCCTTCTGCTACAGGCATGCACTCTTCCTGCACTATTCTTTGAGTCAAGGCTGATCCTCTAGCTTTATGCTAATAGTAGAGTGGGTTACATGCTGGCATGTGAAATTAGAGATTGTGTTGAAAAATTCTGTTACCACAAATGGCCCACAGAGCCCACTCTTGAGTTGCTAGATCTGTATCTAGGCCACACAGTAGTTTTCCTCCAAAAAGACATTAGTGAACCAGATGGGGTCGTACAACAATCAAGGTTGACTTTTATCATATCTGCACTGGTGGGATTCGAACATAACCTGGGTCTCTAGATTGCTGGCCTAGTGACCATACCACTACACCAATTATGTGTTTTTTTTTTTTCAAAATTGAGTCTCTGAACTTGCCCAAGATGTTGGGAGTCATGCATATGATATACTGCCTGGAATAGGATTGCTTTTGGTAAGAATGTTGGGTGGAGAGAGAGAAAGAGGAGGGTGAAGTTTCTATTATGGTAAATGGAAGTTTCATGACTATTCATCTTGTACACGTTGCATGGCAGGTCAGTAATTTATAATGAATAATTAAAGATAGGAGACCAGGGATGATTAAAATAGTGCAACTGTAGAGTCTTACGACAACATTATAAAACATCACAAATAACAATTGGGGTGTGAAATATACATAGGACTTTTTTTGTTTATTGCTACTAAATATTCTACAGTGTTTGGATTTGCTATGGTATTAATATGGGTGATACAAAACATGAATATTCACATTGATAAGCATTCATAATTATGGTTGCATTATAGATTTATTAAACGTTAATGCAAATAGCCCATTCCAAGTTTGTAATATTAATAAACCCCTTTAAAATTTATTTTCCATAATAAATCAGTGCAATTTTATTATTGACTATGATGTATTCTAATTTTGGACAAATGAATTACCATATTGTATGTTTATGTTCAGGGCCTCGTATGGGGTGTGGTATATAAACTTCCAGATGGAAAAGAAGAAGAAGTGAAGGAATATCTTGACTTCCGAGAAAAAGATGGTTACAGGACTATTACAGTTACGTTTTATCCAAAGGATACCTCCATAGATCCTTTCCCTGTGATGCAATACATAGGAACATGTGATAATCCCAATTACTTGGGCCCAGCACCCTTGGAAGACATGGCCTTGCAGATTTTAAATGCTGTTGGGCAAAGTGGAAGGAACACAGAGTACCTGTTTGAACTTGCTGACTCCTTGCGAAAGATTGTTCCAGAAGATACAGATGAGCACCTCTTTTCATTGGAGAAAATGGTCAAGGAGCTCTTAGAGAGAAATGGAAAAAGTAACTGTATATAAAGGATTGCTACAATAAAGTAGGGCTGAATTAAAGACTGTCTTCATTTTAAACCCACATGCTTATTTAATTTATACTTGTTGTGTCACTATTATTCATGACAATGTCCATCACACACAGAGCAAAAGGTATTAAATGCAATGCTGATGACCATAGTCTGATATTAAAAGTACACATGACCACGTATTATGCACATCAAAATGTGATCTCGTTATTTAACCATGGTCCTTGGTGAAGTCATGCTTTCTCTGGAAATATAATTGCTGACTAACCTGATTACAGGAGTGGTTTGCACTGACGTACCCTGAATATTTGAGTATTATTTTCAAATAAGTGTCATTTTTAATGTTGCCATAAATTTTAAGCGGAGAAGTTGCAAGTCAAATCTCAATGTGGTTGGATTATAGGATTATCCAGTAAGTGTTATTTATATGGCTGCTCCCCTTACCTTTTTAGTTGCTAGAAACAGTAGACCCCCAAGGACTGTATTGCATGTACAGTAGATAAATATTGGAATACAAAATTAGTCCCAGAAGTTTATCTTGTCTGTACAGCATATGATAATGTATTCCTTACGTAACCATTGTAAATTACTGTCTCCATAGCACATCCTAATACAACCTGGAGAATATTTATCTAAAAAGCAAAAAAAGTGCTGGAAATATTCAGTCATATCTTTTGAAAAAGAAACTGAATTAAGCTTTCAGATCAATGACTTTTAGCTCAAATGGCTGGATGACTGGTTTACAATGCAGAGTGATGCCAACAGCATGGGTCCAATTCCCCCAATGGGAGAAGTCATCATGAAGGTCCTGCCTTCTCAACTGTCACCCCTTGTCTGTGGCATGGTGACCCTCCAGTTAAACTCGCCACCGCTTGTCTGTCTGGTGAGAGAGCAGCCCTGTGGTCCTTTAGGACTATGTCAACTTTATTTTTATCTTCATAACCACTGCTTCCATTTCTTTCAAATATGAAGTTCTGGTAATTTTACTATCGACATTTACAGTTCCTTTTGACGAAAATTTTCTTCCCATGTGCCATCACAAGTCTCTGTGTTCCTTTGCACTGTCACCCCTTTCATTATTTAATCATTTCAGTCTTCAACATATAACAGATCATTAGTTCTGGTGTAAGGATGTTGATGTGAAAAATTCTATTTTGAGCATTTCTTAAAATTTTATTTCCAGTTTTGAGCATTAGCATCATTTTCCTCTTGTAATAGGATACTCAACATAAATGTTTTCGATGTGAGTCTAACTCAAACTAGAAAATGTTTGAGTTGCACTCAAGCTTGTGTACATGGTTTATGAATGATATTCTGCCTCACTACTTCAGCATTTAAATACTAAATTGATATGCTGATTTTTTTTTTCAAATATGTACTTTGATATTTAGAAAAGGTGATATCTTAAACTATGGTGCAATAGGTCATAATTATTTTAAGACTGTAAAATTTGTCATTAGAAGCATCACTTCTTGTTGGTTTAAGTTATAGTAGAAGTGGTCAGAATTTTGACTTGCACTGAAAACTCTTTAAATCGGGATTGCTGTATGGTACCGTTGTAATTCACATTAGTCAAGCTGCTGTTCCCTAGCAAGTGTAATCCTGTGTTTCATAAATGTGATCTATTGTAACATTGGCATTATCAAACTATTATTTACCAGGTTTTGAATAAACCTCAAAAAAAAAAAGTAAGCCATTTTTAGAAAAATAAATGCAATATCATTAACAAGAATGTTGATTTAGAAATGTATTCATTCTCTGGTGTTTACTTCTGGATGTTGTCAAATTCTAAATATTTTCAGTTCCAATTTGAATGGGAACCCTGTTTTTATGTAGTACTGGCAGCTGTTGTACAAGGCCTGATAACGACAATCCTAATTTCTGATTGAAATTCCTCACTAACCTGTTTATTAGACAATGTTTTCACAGCTCCAATTTGAATTAATTTCTAGAATGTATCCCTTTATGATTTAGAAAGAGAATTTCATAGAAGTCTTTCAATACAGAAGTCATTTGGTCTAATTTAGTCTCACACCCCAATTTTCTCTTCATAACCCTGAAAGTTGGTTTTCTTCAAATGCATAAAGGCAAAATATTGTGGATACTGGAATTCTAAAACTAACACAATGTTGGAGAAACTTAGCAGGTTTGGCAGCATCTGTACAGAAAGAGAAACAGAGTTCCAAGTGGGATTCAACTTCTTCATACCAGACTTGAAATGTTAACTGTTTTTCTCTCTCTTCAAATGCATATCCAGTTTCTTTTTGCAAATTACAATGGAATCTGATTCTATCCAGCTTTCACAGGATCACAAGTACCTCCTGTAAAACAGTTTATCACCTTGTTCTTTTACAAATTCTTTTGAATCCCTGATCTCGGGTGACCAACCCACTTGCCAGAAGAAGCCCTTGCTCTACCAAAATCCCTCAATTTTATCCATATAGTAGCTTAACATTAACTAAAAATTAGATGAGGAGACGTGGCATAGTGAATACATTACTAAGCAAGTAATCCATTGCCCAGGCTGATGCTGAGGGGTATGGCTTCAAATGCCAGCATGGCAGCTGATATAATTCCAGACTTAGCTTTAGAATTTAAATTCAATTCAAATTTGAATAATGATGACCGTCAAATTGTGATGGATTGTAAAAACCCGATCAGTTCATTAATGTCCTTCTAGGACATGACCAAAGACTGTCCTTTAGTGCGTTATATGTTCTGGCCTACCTGTGACTCCAGCCCCTCAGCAATATAACTGTCTCAGCTGCCCTCTGAAATGACCCAGCAAGCCAGTCAATTAAAGGACATTTTATGGATGGGTAACATATGCTGGTCTTGTCAATGATATCCACAACTCATGAAAGAATGTTTCAGAACAAAGTAGAAACTAGTCCGACTTTTGACATGCATTGAAATTACTTTTAAAACTAATTGCTCTAAGGCACTGTTATAATGCAAATCTGTCAAGCATCTACTGGGGCTTTACTTATTAACTTTCTCAATCCCAGCTTATCCAGTTTCTTGCATAACTCAAATCCCTGGTTCCTTGGTATAAATATTGTAAACATCGCCCACAATACCTTGACATTCTTCTAGAAGTACGAATGCAGAATTCTACCCACTATTGTACTGAGGCCAAATCAATTCTGTTCTGAACATTATTCTGTAGTAGTTTTACACTACACTGGTTGGCCTTCAGTGAAAATTGTATTTTTCTGTCTTGATTACAGTTTTACACTTTCTATAAACAAAAAGGATAACATTGCAATCCTCCAGGCCTTTGGCACTACTCCCTTGTCCACCAGGTTTGAAAATTCTAGATAGAACTCTAACTTTTCTCAGCAGCCCATGATTCGTTACTTTTTAATCAGGTCCATGTTAATTTTGTGATTCCAACTGTTTTGGTACTATACAATATCTCTTCACCTACTCTCACACCCTGACGACTACTACAATATTAAAATTTCCTTCCTTTGTGCAGACTCATGGAGAGTATTCATTCACTGTACCTTCAACATTTCTTTCCTTTGTCTTTAATTCGTCCCACCAATCCTTTAACACGTTGATTTGACATGTTTTTGAGTGTTTTGGGTTCCTTTCCAATGTTTCTAGCTCAGGAAAAAGAGGCAGTATGAGAAACTTATGATCTCAGCTGATGTTATCACTGGACAAGTCAGATCCTGGACTGAAAGATCATATTTTCTTTTTTGTTTCAATTAGGTGAGCTCTCCTGGAAAAACAAAACAAATCTGCAATGTTGTGTGCTTATCAATAAAACAGAAGTGTAATACACAAAGGAAATGAGATAAAATAGAATAAACCTAACACAAGTTTAAGAATATTGAACCACATGGTAGAAATAGAATGCCAAACACATTCTTTTGCAGCTCTCTCACTAGAGAAAATGCCCTATTATCCGTCTAGTGCTTAGTTTAATCGTGGCTTCCACTCCCAGTGCTGAGAATCTGATATCCTCTTTTTGGGGCCTTTATACAACTGAACTTGCACTTTCTCAGCTTCACATAACCTCTTCAAGGTTTCTTGTGATTATTGAATGAGGGATTAATATTTGCTTGAAGGCTGAGAAGAACTCCTCTGCTTCTTCAAAATAATGCCATGGATTTCCTTTGTCTTAGAGGGCCAACAAATAATCAGTTGATTGAATCCCTGAGTATATCACCTCTGTGGAACTAATCTCCTTGATCAAGATTGGCATATTCCCTGCTCATTTTTTTTTTGCTTCTGTCCTGATTTTTAATTGTACATTTTTCTCTCCTCACTGCTGCTATGTCCTGGTGTCCCTCTCTGTACTAATTTAAACCGCTCCTGACAACACTATTTAAATCAACATAAAATGACATTTCCACAACTCGTCCACATTGTACAGTACTCTTTGCCCCAATACTGGTCTTCATGCCCTAGAAGTTTGAGACTCTTTTCCCCCTGCACCACTTGTACAGCACACTTCTCTACCACATCTCTTCTTTTATTAGTATGTGGCACTGGGAGCAGTCCAAATATTTAAAATTTGCCAAAACATTCATAAATTGGTAATGAAATTTGAAAGCTTGTTCCTATTAGGACTTGAAAACATGAATCCCATTGCCTCTAATATGGTCATTGATGTTGAAATTCCTAATGTACGTATGAATCAGCTGTAAAGAATGTAAGAAATATAGCAGGAGTAGATCATACAGCCTTGAGAGACCCAAGATCTGTCAATGTTGGTCTTAAGGATACTCAACATTAAGGACCCCAAGATCACTTGGGGTCGAGAATTTCAAAGAACCACAACCCTTTAAATGAAAAAGGTTCTCTTTTAAAAAACAACTACATCCTAAACAATCGAAACTGTATCCAGAGATTGCATACCTGTCTTCCAGATATCCCTGGCCATGAGAAATAACTGTTCAGTGCCCACCCTGTCAGCTCCCTTCAGAATCTTGTGCTTAAATAAGATGACTTTCTGGAGTTTAAAAAAAAATCAGAAGCAAAGGCCTAATTTGGTCAGCCTTTCATCACTGAGCAGCTCTCTAATCTCTGAACCAATCTAGTAAACTGTCACTGTATCACCTCCAAGGCAAGTATATTCATCCTTAAATACAGAAATGAAAATTGCACACAATAATTGGGGTATGCTGCACAAAAGTCCTATAACATTGTAGAAAAACTCTTTCCTGTATTCCAAACCCCTTACAATGAAGGCCCACATTCCAAATTATTTACTGCACTTCTATGCTAACTTTCTCTATTGTATGAATGAACTCAAATCTCTCTTAAAAAATCAACATTTAGAAACTTCATGCCTTTTAAAAATGTACTGTTTTCTCTTGCTACTAAAACTAGGGGGCAAATCTGAGAATTAGGGGCAGACCATTCAGGAGACACTTCTACACACACAGGGTGGTTGATTTTGGAACTCTTCCACAAATGACAGCAGATGCTGGATTAGTTGTTCATTTCAAATCTGAAATAGATAAATGTTTGTTAAACAAAGGTATTAAGGGATGTGGGCCAAAGTATGGAGTTGGGTGCCAGATCAGCCAAGATCTCACTGAATGGCGGAACAGGCTCAAGGACCTATTCCTATTCCTATAAAATTAATGACCTCTCACATGTTCACATTATATTTTCTCTAAGTGACCAACTCATCTTAATTACTCTCCCCTTTTTGTATAATTATAATACCTCTTGCAAATCCATTTTCATATTCTCAGTCAATTTCCTTCTTTTATTCTTCAATGTTTTGTAACCCTGTCACAGTCTTATCAATGAAGAATCAAAATGGATGAGGAGGAATTTCTTAAGACAGAGAGTGATGAAACTGGAAACATGGGACTAGGATATCATAGCAACTAGAGAGATGTGGCTCAGGGACAGACAGGACTGGTAGCTTAATGTTCCAGGATATAGAAGCCGAAGCAAGGATCAAAAGGGGGCCAAGAAAAGAGGGGGGAGTGTAATTTTTGATTATGGATAACATTACAGCTGTACTTAGGCAGGATATTCCTGGGAATACATGCAGGGAAGTTATTTAGGTGGAACTGAGAAATAAGAAAGGGATGATCATCTTATTGGGATGATACTATAGATCCCACAAAATTCAGTGGGAAATTGAGAAACAAATTTGTAAGGAGATCTCAGTTATCTGTAAGAATAAATAGAGTCGTTATGGTAGGGGATTTTAAACTTCCAAACATAGACTGGTACTGCCATTGTGTTAAGGGCTTGGATGGAGAGAAATTTAAGTGTGTACAGGACCCAGTCAATGGATGTATCTACTAGAGAAGTTGCAAAACTTGACCTAATCTTGGAAAATAAGGCAGAGCAAGTGACTGAGGTTTCAGTGGGGGAACACTTTGGGGCCAGTCACCATAATCCTATTAGTTTTAAATTAGTGACGGTAAAAGATAGATCAAGTCCAAAAGTTAAAGTTCTTAATTGGAGGAAGACCAATTTTGACGGTATTAGGCAAGTACTTTCAAAAGTTGATTGGGAGCAGATGTTCACAGGTAAAGGGATCGCTGGAAAATGGGAAGCCTTCAAAAATGAGATAACCAGAGACCAGAGATAGTATGCTCCTGATAGGGTGTATGGCAAGGCTGTTAGGTGTAGGAATGCTGGATGACTAGAGAAATTGAAGTTTTGGACAAGAACAAGAAGGAAGCATATGTCAGGTATTAACAGCAGGGATTGAGTGATCCCTAGAACAGTGTAAAGGCAATAGGAGTA